ATTTTAATAGAGTACAACACCACAAAGGTTTTACTCTTCCAGAAACAGTAAGTACAAATACAGAAAATATATATAATTCCTTAAGTTTGTTAGTAGACTGTATTTGTAAAATAATTCTGGAAATATAAATGAATATAAACAGAAATGAACATAAACAGAAATAACATAAAACCAATTCGAGCCCACTGAATTCACAGTGTTTCCTTAAGGAATTTAATCCCCTCCTAGTACCCAAGGTTATGGATTATTTCTTCCCAGGATAGAACGAATTACACACTGGTGTAGTGATACTTCAAACCCCAGCGTTTCAGCGAACACAAAGTTCGGTAGCAAATCACACTTACTTTTTGCTTTGTATTTATAGCCAAAGTTGGGCTGAAATCTGAAGAGGCACAACTCTTCAGAATGGTTGTTTATGCAAAACGCCCACATCATAAATGCCATTATATAAATGGCCATTTACTCAACAATAAAAAGGGAAAATTGAAGAGGGTAGTTACTTTTCTGTTACCAAAACAGATATTTTACTATTAATAAATAAATTTGGTCCAAAAAGTTAATCAATCAATTGACCGAAGCCGAAGCCGAAGCCGAAGCCGAGCCGAGCGACGACGACAACGGCGCGAGGCTTGCCTTCTTCTCAACTCTTTAAGAGCTAGAAGAAGAGCAATTGCTTATATACCCATAAAAACCTCTTCCTCTTCCAATATGGGACAATGCCCATTTGCCAAGGGAGGAACTTAAAATTTCACTCAAAAATTTCATTTCTCTCCATTTCTCATTCACCCTCTTTTAAGTATTTAATATATTAATTAAATACATCCAAAACCCAACAAACATTTCCCCATCAATCGTATGCGTAAATTTCGGTGGACATAATTATTCGATACTTATATTGATAAAAGATAATAAGTATATATTCAATAAAATAATTAAGATACACATAATCTAGCTCGAACATCACTATTATAAAAAAAAAATGTTTCCTGATCAAAATACGTTGATGTTTCAATAATAAAACTAGAAGAGTCATCGAGGTACGTACCTACAAGAAAAAATGATTGATGGAGAATTTCCGGGTCTCTTCTTGCCTTTCTTATTATTAAATAATCCTATTATATTCTTTATCCTACTTTTTTTCCCTCTCTTCTTGCCCTTTCTTATTATTAAATGATCCTATTGGAGTTTTGTCTTAAATCTTGACACATGTCGATTTTTCGGTTTGACATTTGACACAATATTATAAATTTGCCTCTCCTTTTCTATATTAATAGATATTATGAATAAGCCAACCAATGCTACAACATATGTTGGCAAGCAGTATAATATACTACACATTGTCTAGNCTAGAGCAAAAGCATATAGACATCAAGCATCACTTTATTAGAGATCATGTTCTTAAGGGAGACATAGAAATATCTTTTGTTGGAACTACTGATCAGTTAGCAGATATTTTTACTAAGCCACTATTAAAAGATAGATTTTGTGATTTAAGAAAATTACTTGGCATTACTTGCTTAACTAATAACCTATAGGACCTATGTGTACAATAGTTTTTTTTGCAGGTATAATGATTGTACTTTACTCATGCATTAATTACACCTTCGTTTTCTATCCCTCTTTTTTCTTCTTCTTTCACATCAGTTCGTCGTTCAAAGTTGGAAAGCCAATCATCGCGTCTCTTCAACTGACACCTTTTCCTTTTCTAGACTCAACCGTCAGAAGGTTCTCTTCTTAAGGCGGAGAACCTCTTTCAATCACTTTCATCCCTGTAATAAAAAAACCCTTCTCCAAAGCTCCGGCCAAACCACTTTCATTCAATGGCCAAACAACCTAGAAATCCCTCCGCATCTACCAGAAAAAGTACCCGCTCCAACCCAAAACCCCCTTCTATTCCCCCAGAACAAGTAGACCTAGGGTCCGACCAGTCTGAGGGTTTCGCTTCTTCACAGGGAGTTGTCTGATCACTCTCAAACCTTAGGAGAAAAAGCCCTAGGAAAACGCCCTATGGAAGACCCCCCTGTTTCCTCTACCCCAAAGAAATCAAAGTTTGATCTCTCTGACTCTCTAGAATCCGACCTGAATTTCTGGGATTCTCTAAATAGGGATTTCTTCATTGCTCTGAAGGAAAAGCCCATTTCTCATGGAAGGGTAGTCGACCTTGACGACATGGAAGCCCTAAATTGTAAGGTCAAAAACCTCTTTGTTCATCAAGAGTGGGCTAAGTTTCTCTCTATTCCTCCGCCTAAAGTCTATGAACCCCTGGTAAAGATGTTTTATGCTAATCTCCGCTCCAGTAAGCCTGGCAGGTTGGAATCCTTAGTATTAGGTAAGCACATTGTTCTTGATTGTGCCCTGTTTGATTCACCTTTTCAGTGTCGATGTTCTGGTTTTCCTATGCTTTTCAAAAATACCCGGCCAGATGATTTTGAAATTTCCTTTGACCAAGCTAAACAGTGTATTGATGAGTGTCCCTCTGACTCCCTTCCCAACCAGTTAGGCCCTAGTGATGTTAGTTTCGAAACTCGTGTCCTGCCTCACATTGTAGCAACTACTCTGCTTCCCCGCACTGGTTCTTTTTCGACCTTCTCTCAAAGAGACACCTTCTTAGTATACTGTCTTGTTGCCAAACTCAAAGTCAACTTATCCTCCTAGGTCATCAATTTCATGATTGAAAGTGCTGAAGATCCCACCAGTCTACCCTATGGCATGACCATCACTCACATTCTGGAATCTCATCAAATTTCCCTGTCCAACTATCCCTTTATGACCATTTTAAAATCCTACAACTCTAGAGCCTTTGCAAGTATGGGGTATGTGAGTGTGAAGGGCTCCTGGGTTAAGAAGCACGAAGGTGAAGTTAAGCATGCTCCTATAGAACCCAAATCTAAACCCCCTACCTCTCATGCCAGTCCTGGTGATCCTGATCTTGACGAAAAGCTTCGTGCCATTAACACTCAACTCTCTGAAATCAAAAATCTCCTCACAGCCACTCAGTCTACTTTTGGTGACATTCATGCCATCTCCAAGGAAACAGGGTCTAATGTGTCAAAGATAAGAGTTGTTGTTCTCAAAGTTAGGGAGAATGCTGTCAAAGCTTTCAGGGAAATTCATGACAGGTTGGATGGAGTGAGCATCTCAGTAAATGCTAGCTTTGAACAAATGAAGGAGGCCATCTGCAACACTCTTACTTATTTTCTGCGTCATTAATGTGGTTGATTAAGATAATTTTTTTTACTGTGCTTTTTTTGGGCTGTTATCCCAGCCATTGGACAATTTCTGCTTTTATCTTGCTTTAGGTGTTTGTGATTAAACTTTAACGCTACTGTTTAATACTATATATTCTATTTAGTTCTTGGTTTGATTCCCTCTTTGCCGATGCCAAAAAGGGGGAGAAGAGTATATGTTGTATTTGTACAGGTATAGTTGACTGCGACACAGGTAGCATCCTCCGTGGCAAGAGTCGACTTTCAACCATGGACTAGTCAACTGCATGAACTGATGGGGAGTGCCATGAACCTCAACTGCATACATTGAGGGGGGGGGGGTAAAACACAGGGAAGTCAACTGGTATTTCTACATATATATTATTTTGTCACCATCAAAAAGGGGGAGATTGTTAGATCTAATTTTAATGATGCAAATAATATATCTGTGTATGAAATCAATCAGAGAAAATCAAGGAATCAAGGAGCTACTACGAGATTGCTGAAATCAATCTGGATGCTTAAGGAAATAAATCAATTAGCAAAGATTACAAATCAATCAGCAAAGATCATGGACAACTGCGATGGAAAGAATCTCTAAACTTAAGGCAACAATCAAGGCCAGCACATTCAATCCGGACTCTGAAAGAAGATTAGCTGAGCTGCCAATTGTGGAAGGACCAACAATCAAGGAGTAAACCCTCATCATCAACAACTGTAGAAGGAAAGCGATCAATCTCCTCTCATCAAGGAAGAGCAACGGCAAGCAATCTTATTCTTGGAAAGAATCAATCTCTTTCCAAGGATCAAATCTCTTGGGTTGTCAAATCTCGTCAGCAAGAGGACTTCACCAATGTATTTATACTCTGCATCCAGCCTTAGAGAGACATACTTTGATCGAACCAAAAATCCTGTCTTTATTCTACTGCAAACAAACATTGTAGTTCTTTGAGACCTGCTGTGTAACAAGTCAGAGAAAGAGGAGAGTATAACACTGGTGAGACATTGTATCAAAAGAGACGAGTGTTATAGGAACTGAGCTATCACGTCATTTTCATTGTACTCGAAGAAACGCATTTACTAAAGAGAACTCCCTTGCAACCCAAGGAGATTGGACTAGGATTCACATTGAATCCGAACCAGCATAAAAATTTCGGTGTCTTTAATTCCTGCACTTACTTTCTGCGTTTTATATTCTGCTATTATAACTGTTATGTTATTGCATCCAGTCAACTAATTGAATAACCAAACTAATAGAGATTAAGATTAAAAATATACAATTCACCCCCCTCTTATACTTTCAAATATGTGTCCTGATTTCTTAATATATAAATTTCATTTAAAACTTTTGAAACATATTTGACTATTGTACTCAGAACATCATTCTTCGAACCAGAATAAATTGTTTTTACTCATTTAAATTGGTAAAAGTTATTTTGAAAAGGACTGAAAATTGTGGTTACTGTTTAGGACGATGATGTGAGAACCAAAATGAAACATTAGAGGGACCAAAGTACCAAACGCACGAGAATTCCATTGGGCAAACAATCCCACGTGACAAACACGTGAGCAGAACAAGCCTCCACGTGTCAAGCAAATGTACGTTCCTAGATTCTGGTGTTGAACCACAGGAAGGTGACATGGCAGATTTTGTAACATCAATAACTAATGTAACTGAGAAGAAGATTTACTTGAAGGGTAAATATATAATGACAGAAAACAATTAATTTCCCTCCACACATTAACCTTATCTTGAATTGCTCTCATTTGTTGCCACTCTTTCTCCTCTACCATAACCATCACATTCCAAGATTTTCTACAATGCTCACAGTTTTGCTCCTTTTACTCTCTTTTCTTCACATACGCCACCATCATTTTGGCCGTCACAAAATTAAATGGCGACCAAACTTGGGTTCAGTATGACAAGTTCTCGGCTCTTTCATGCCCCTTTTAAAAGACCATTTTTTTCTGCTTCACTACCAACTGCTTCATCTTCTTCTTCGCCGAGGCTGCCATTGATCCCTTTTGGTGCCAGTAGAAAGTTATCTATTCGAAAAAGGTTGTTGATTCTCTCCCCTAAGGCCACTACTGATCAGCCAGGTTAGGCTTTAAGTTTTCATCTTGGATTCTATTTAATAATTATGGTTACTGGATAATCTCCTGGAAACAGCCTCTCTGCCCTCGGGTAGGGGTAAGGTCTGCTTATACATTACCCTTCCCAGACCCCACTAGTGGGACTACACTAGGCGTTGTTGTATTTTAGGGATATTGCCATATTGGCCAAAAATACCATCTTGGCTATACCAAATACCCTAATTCTATCCACCAATATTGAGGGGCGGAGCTAGAAGCTCTGTAGAACACAGTAGGTTTTGTTCAAATAGTGTATTTGTGAAAAAGTTTCATTAAATATATACAAATATAAAATTAGTACCCAGTTATTAGTACTTGAAATCGTCATTCTAAAATCCAGAACCCATAAAGTTAAAATTTTGGCACCGCCTCTATCCACCATCAGGGGCAGAGCTAGAAGCCCGACAATGAATTCGGCACAACCCAGTAGCTTTTGTTCAAATAGTGTATTTGTGTTAAAATTTTCATTAAATATGTACAAATATTAAAAGTAGAAGCCAGTTATTAGCACTTGAAATCATCGTTCTAAAATCCAGAACCCATAAAGTTGAAATTTTGACTCCGCCTCTATCCACCCTTATTGTAAATGTAGACTCTCCTCAAGAATCAGTTCTATTTACTTGCTGTCAGAAAAAGAGCATTTCAATTGACTACTTCTAACAGGTCTTGTGAGAATGAAGAAGTTCAATATTTCTAGCTTGATGCCACGTTTCAATTCAAATTTTGTTTCAGCAAAACGGAGTATTGGTAAATGAGAATATCTGATTTTCATTCATAGAGCGGTAAAGGCTTGTAGATTGTGAAACACTACTTAAGTAACACCAGCCAGGTTAGAAGCGGATGCCTGATCTCCGGTAGCTAGAATAATGAGATAGCTAAGACAGAAATTATATATGCCCGTGTGAGCTTGCTCACATTGCTGGTCCCAAACTTTCCAATTTATGATGAATTCTCATAATACAAAATAGTGAAAAATAGGCTTTACTTCAAATTCTGTTTCAGTATAAATTCTGATGACAGTTTTAAGTGGAGTAACTCTGATCAATCATCCTACAGCCAGGCTTTTTAATAGCAGCCTCATTTGTTTTTTTAAAGATTAAGACGTTTGAATCTGAATACACATTTGAATATCAAGATGTGTATTAAGATTAAGACATCTGAATCTGAATACACATCTGAATATATTAAGATGTGTATTAAGATCCGAATAGAAATAATTAAGACTGTTTGATTTTTAACATCTAAATGTATAAAATTTATCTTTATTTGAAAATTAATAAACATAAAATTCAAATGAAATACTAACTAATCTAATATTCTATCAATATAATATATAGTTTTTAAAATATGATAGTTGTTGGTGGTGATGGCTAACGGGTGAATGCCGGTTAGAGGCAGTGGTTGGTGGTAGTTTTGGTTGATCATGGTGGTTCATGCTAGTAGCTAGTAGTGAATGGTAGCGGTGACAATTATGATTGAGGATGGTGGTGGTGGGTGGTTATAGTTAATAATGGCGGGTGGTGGTAGTAGTTGTGACTGAGGAAGGTGGTGGGTGGGTGGTGGTAGGTTATAATGATGGGCAGTGCTGGCGGTGGTTGTTGATGGTGATGGGGTGGTAAGTTATGGTAGATGAGTGTTAGATTGTGGGTGAGAATGATAGTGGTCAGAGTGGTGGGGATAGTAGGTGGTGATGGTCGATAATTGTGGCGGCTATGATTGAGGATTATGGTGACGTGGTGGTGGTGGAGGTGGTGGTGGTGGCATGGTAGTGGTGGTTGAGTATGGTGGTGGGGGTGGCATGGTGGTAGTTGATAATAGTAGGCGGTGGCGGCAGTTAATAATGAATATGTGATAGCATCTTAATGAAATTAAGTCTATGTTACAGATCTTAATCATACAGAACTATTCAGACCCATTAAGTGGTTGTGAAGTAAAAAAAACAAACACACTTCATGACTAAGATCTGAATAATTAAGATTCAGACTTTAAAAATAAAGGCACTTAATGTCTGAGATCTGGATGATTAAGATTCACACCTCCATTAAGTGCAAACAAATAAGGCCGAGAATAGAAGGGAAGCTTCCAAAAGGAATTACCATCCAGTCTTGCAGTCTACTCAAGTAGATTTCACATTCTTATCTCTGCACCTCAGGAAAATAAACATTTTTCTGTGATCGATTTATAGTGAGGCAAGGTTGCTGCAAAGGAAAGTGTTTCACCGTCAACCTAATTATTTAACGGGAGTAAAAAAAATTGGCAATTGTGCCTAAGCATGTTCAAGAAAGACTTGCTACTTATCCTACACCATAGTATCTTTTCTATATTTATGGCCTTAATAAAATAAAAAACCTCATTGCACCTTCAACTATAGATGCAATGAAGCCTTCAGCCACCTTCAGGTTTACTTGGGTTTAGTATATATATCTCTTTAAATACAAGGAAAATACGAAACAATGCTGAGACAAAGAAAGAGATTTATAGACTTGTCAATCATACAAACTGAAATAATCTTTTGCCGAGGTTTCTGTTTCTTTTTCATTTAACTTTTGGATCTTATCCAATTTATTCATTTTATGGTGGCCAATACCATATTACGTTCATAAAACCTCATTTTTTACTTTCAGGTCAGGTCCAAGAGGATGAGGACAGTAAAATTTTGCAGTATTGTAGCATTGATGGGAAGGGGAAGAAATCTATGGGGGAAATGGAACAAGAGTTTCTTCAAGCGCTACAAGTAATGAAGTCCAGCTTTTCTATTCCATTCCCTTGATATTTTCTCTTTTCTTGAGATTGAGGAGTTCTCACTCCCCCTTCTAACAAAACTGAATGGCTTTGTCTTGGCTGTGTACTACAGTCGTTCTATTATGAAGGAAAGGCCATCATGTCAAATGAGGAATTTGATAACCTCAAGGAAGAATTAATGTGGGAAGGGAGCAGCGTTGTCATGCTAAGTATAGAACAATTTCATTTTAATTGTCAAAATTTTCAAAATATGGTGTTTTTATGTTGGGCCCTTAAGTAGCTTACATGACATCAATTCCTATCAATGTAGGTGCTGATGAACAGAGATTTTTGGAAGCTTCTATGGCTTATGTATCTGGGAATCCGATTATGACCGACCAAGAGTTTGACAAGCTGAAGTTGAAACTTAAGGTGCTTTCCCATTGGTCAATCATATTCTTATATATTAGTGTTTGATATGTAATACAGCAGATGAGTATTAGCTTGGTATTATAAAGTTTCCCTTTACATACAAAAAATACCAGAAGAATAAGAGCAAAGTAATTTTTATTTTGATACTGTTGCTTGTTGGTATAATAAAGTGACTGATTACTTGGTATAAGCTCAGATTCTGTAATATCAACAAATATCTGGTACTTTCTTTTCTTATCGGCTACTTTTAAGTTTGACTGGTAACTAATATGGGGTTATTCGATTATCACAATAAAGGCTGTTCTTCTATTTACTGTCCCTATGAACATGGCCATACTAGAAATACTTTGCTACTTTTTTCTTGTTCTCTTATGGTGTTCTCTAAATTCTCTGTATTTTTATCTCTTAACTTCTAGATGGATGGCAGTGATATTGTGGTTGAGGGTCCACGGTGCAGTCTCCGTAGTAGAAAGGTTTGTCCTTCATTTTTTCCATCTGCACTACGAGGACGTGCTACATTTTTGCCATTATGTATACTCATATTATGCCTTTGATCAAATTTACTGCAGGTTTATAGTGACCTTTATGTGGATTATCTGCGGATGTTCTTGCTAAATGTCCCCGCAGCTGTTGTTGCGCTTGGATTGTGAGTAGCAGTTCTTTCTCTCTCAGTACAACTTCACAATTGCTTCACAAAAAATGTTTACTTTTGAGCTTTTAGGAAGTAAGAAAAGGAGAAAACTTGTATTAGAAAGTGTGAAGGTTGTTCTTTCTCGCATCTGTGTTTATAATGTGACATTTATTCCTTGGGAACGGGACCATTGTTTGAGATAGTAAAAGAAGAAGAAACGCAGACATCCAACTTCAAAAATAAGGATAACTAGCTCTCTTAAAGGGTTTTCTGCCTGACCCTAATGTTTCCATCAATTTTATAAGTTCATTCTTAAACTTTCTTGCTTGTATCTTGATGATCTTCACACTTCGTGTCAAAAAAAAGGGAAGGCAAAAAGATAGCACCATATTTATTTGTGTTCTTAGTTCATAAAGCAACACTCCCAATTTTCTTTAACATAGTTTATTTGGCTGCTGTATTACAGGTTCTTCTTCCTCGACGACATCACTGGATTTGAGATCACCTATCTTTTGGAGGTAAAAGTGATTAAGTGCAGAATATTCTGCATTAGCTTGATCAAAAACTTGTGAATGTTCATTAGCTTTAGCAAAGTGATAGGAAGTTGGAATATCTCAAAGCATGAGACAATACTAACATGGGAGGCGATTCTAGATGGATTTGAAATAGCTTAGCAGAATGTCTCTGAATGTATTAATCGAGGCAATATATGGTAAATTAGGAGTTCAAACTAGTTTCTCAAAAGGAATTGAAGTACCAGTGGTGTTGGTAATTACGCCTAATCTTTGTGAGAGGAGTTAATAATTACTACTACTCTTGTGCAAAGTCTGCATATGTGGTACTATATTTATATTCATGCACATGTTGGAAATAAGAATTCAACTGGTTCCTTGAAAATTAGTTCTAATCTGTCTATGATTGTCTCTGCTTGTCCTAATGATTCCTCGCCATCCCTGGGTAAAACTGACTCTGATCCCTTTTCTTTCTCTCCATCACTAAAAGATACACTGTGGTTCGTATATTTGCAGCTTCCGGAGCCGTTCAGTTTCATATTCACGTGGTTCGCTGCTTTGCCCTTCATATTGTGGCTATCCTTTACAATTACAAACGCTATCATTAAAGATTTTCTGATCTTGAAGGTATAGGTTCATAAGCTTTGTGTATGATGATGTAAAGGTTGTATTTATTTGAAATTAATGCGTGATAAGCTTAAATTTCAGGGCCCCTGTCCGAATTGTGGAACAGAAAACACTTCCTTCTTCGGTACCATATTATCTGTTTCTAGTGGAGGTAACACTAACAAAGTGAAATGCACAAAGTAAGTCCAAAAGTATCTTCTAAGAAACCTTGTCATCATTCTCTACTTTATCTATATCTCCATCGTCTAACCATTGCTATAATTTTCTCAGTTGTGGTACGGATATGGTCTATGATTCTGGCACACGTTTAATCACATTGCCGGAAGGAAGTAGTGCATGAGTTTAGGTACATATACTCTTTTATTGTTACTTGGACGATAACATAAGATGATTATTTTTTAACAAAAAATAAGTTATCATCTATATATGTTCTAGCCATGTATTTATTCAAACCATTTAGCTTATTTGCTTGTCTGCATTGAGAACTTAACAGTTCGAGACAGTATAAGACGCAATGCCAAATCTAAAAAGCATATAGATGTAAAGAAGCTGACCCTTCATTGCTCTATTGTCCTCCGAGAGGACTGTTAATGACCAGTTTGCAAGACGGCCTGCAGGTTGCAGATGAGAGTGGACTTTTGGTTGCGTAGTTCTTTCCTGACATCAGATTTAAGAAACTAAACTATTTACCCTCTGATGATTAAGACTAGGATAAGTTGAGTAGCAGTAGATCGTTCTTTTGTCAACAAAATTGTGATTCCACTGTTCTAACTTTGAAAATAGAATATAAATTAAAGGTTAAGAAGTTGTACTTCCACATAACATGCATACCACTTGAAAAGTTTCACCAATTCTGAACCTTTACTGGCTGTGAAGTACTGAGAGAGATTAATGAATGCGGCATCTTTATGTATAGTTCTTTTCTATACTAAATTCTCAATCTAGAAGATGTTAGTTGAACGGCGCTTGTTCCATAAGACCCAAAAGCTAGCCCATGAGGTGAGTAATATTCAAGACCAAGGAGTCCAAGTTACCCATGTTGAGCCGATGTGGGACTCAACTCTCCCCTGCACGCCCAGGACTAGGACCGGACAATTGGAGCATGGACAACATAAGATGGGGGCCCAACATTGAGTAAATAGTGAGATGGGACTTGCTCTGATACCATGATAAATGGATTGCCTAAGCCATATAAAGAGTACAAGGAATCCATCCATCTCCAATGTGGGATTCCATCACCCCCGTGTGCCAAGACCTGCCAACTGGAGAGTGAACAATCTATCCTAAGGGCTCAACATTGGGGGCCCGACTCTGATATCTTTGATAAATGAATCTTGGCCTAACTCAACCTCAGAAGCTAACTCATGAGAAGAGGATTGTCTAAAAACCATATAAGGAGTCCAAGTTACCCATCTTGAGCCGACCGGGACTCAACACTTACTACTATCTCCTGAAGTTCTAAAACATTCACATTGGATCATGTTTTTTCCTTTGTAGTTTTGGTGGTATAGGATGATGCTAACTGTTAAACCATCCTGGTTACTGAAAAGTTTACTTGTAAACAATGCAGGGCGATTCTACGTTGGTGACATCTGCAAACAGATTGCACTGACACCAATTGCATGGGAGAGAGATCATATCATGGGTATTTTGAGGGCAATTTGTAAAAACAAAAACATTTCCCTATGTTAAATGGTGGATGCTTTGCAACTTGCAGCATGTCAATATGTAGTTAAGTAATGTATATTATGCATGTATATACAACAGGCAAAATTTAACTCAAAAAGCACAGGTGATCATATGAATGTTTTGAATAGAGTTGAATTGTTTTTTTTCAGTCACTGGTGGTGAAGCCAGAAGTTTCCTCAAGGGTGTTCAAACTTGAAAGAAGTGAAAAAAATTCCTCGATAAAGGGTATTTAGTATATGTTATATACCGCAAAAACCTAGTATCACTTTACATATATATCGATGAAGGGTGATAAATTGACCACCCTTTAACAAATGTAGCTTCGCCCCTGTTCTGAGTTTCCCTTCTTTGAATGCCACTAAATAGCCAAAATAATTTGCAGAGTCAGTTTTGGATCCAATCATGAGTGCGCGTATTCAGAAAATTAGAGTCAAACCGTTTATGTCTGCGCACAAAAGCAAGTATAGATTGACTTAGATAAACATTTTACAAGTTACTCTCTCAACTCAGAACTCACAGTTTTTAAATTTTGAATCCGCCATTGACTATAATTAATCATCTTCAAAAAATAAAAATAAAAAGAATAATTCTGCTGCAATGAACGTTGAATTTATTGATTTCCATATTCTACTTGCCACGTATCCATGCATACCAAACTCTCTCTTATTATTTTTAAATTAACTATTTCTTCTAACCTTCAAGATTTCTTGAAATTGTTTGTCGGATGGCCAATGCAACTACTCATTACAAAATTCAGAGTATTTAGATTCAAATTAATTTAAGTTCAATGTTAGCCTACATTCTTAGAACATTTCTATTGTTAAGAAAAAAATGAATCTAACAAAAAGTACGGCTATACACAACAGCATAAAACCTGCTCGCACGTTGCCAAAAGCAAATTAAATGTCAAACCTTGTAGTTTTGTTACGTGGTATAAAGATAAATAAATTCTATTCTATAACAAAAAAGTTGACTTTATAGCCTAACATGTTCGTGGGGGCACGAAGGCTACATTTTCTTGTTCCTTACTTAAACTCAAACTATAAAAGGCCTAAGTTACAAGTCAATTAAGCCATAACAAAATATTCTGAGTGTAACATTAGGAAACAAGCAACAATGGCATCTTTCAACTGCAGATGGAGATTGAGTTTCTTCCTCATTGCGACAATGGCACTTTTTCACCAAGCAATAGCCTCTGGCTACTATACCACCCCTAAGTTTAAAGCCATGCCTTGGAAGCTTGCTTATGCCACGTTCTACGGAGACGAGACTGCTTCTGAGACAATGGGTGCGTTACACTAGTCAATCAATTATCCCTCATTTCCAAACTAAGTCAGACAATTATTGGATTTTAACTTATTGTAACAGGTAACCTACCTTATTTTTCAAGTAACTAATTCGACTAGCTCGTTATTGCAGGTGGAGCTTGTGGATATGGGAATTTGTTCAATTCTGGTTATGGTACAGCAACTGCAGCATTGAGCACAGTGCTATTTAGCAATGGATATTCATGTGGGCAATGCTTCCAAATACAGTGTGTGAAGTCTAAATTTTGCTACAAAGGATTTACCACCGTCACAGCCACAAATCTCTGCCCACCCAATTGGGCCCAAGACTCCAACCATGGTGGCTGGTGCAACCCGCCACGTCAGCACTTTGACATGGCTAAACCTGCTTTCATGAAAATTGCTCAATGGAAAGCTGGCATTGTCCCCGTTATGTATCGCAGGTACGTTTGTTACAACGCGTAAAAATAAAACTTATTTATTCTTTTTCTAAATCAATATTTAAAAATTAATTTTAAGGACGAGCAAGCTTCCTCTAGTAATAGAGTACCTCCATCATCAACCAGTAGGTTGAAAGTTCAGACTAATGTAATTTTTAAGAAATTCTTAAAAATTTGAACTTGTCCCTCTAAAGCTAATCTTGTACTATCATTTTTTGCATCTCTAATACTACTTTTTTGTGATTGCAGGGTACCTTGCATTAAGAAAGGCGGGATTCGGTTCGCTTTCCAAGGAAACGGTTACTGGTTATTGGTATACGTGATGAACGTCGCTGGAGGTGGCGACGTGGCAAGCATGTGGGTAAAGGGAAGCAAAACAGGGTGGATAAGCATGAGTCATAACTGGGGAGCTTCTTACCAGGCATTTGCAACACTTGCAGGACAATTTCTTTCTTTCAAGCTCACTTCCTACACAAATTATGAGACTATTATGGCTTACAATGTTGCACCCTCTAATTGGCATGTAGGCATGACTTACCAAGCCAAAGTCAACTTCCATTAGTCATATAATGAGTAATAAATATTGGCTAATGCATATTACTCGGGTCAGTGAGTTTTAAATACTTTCCTCTAAGCCTCTAGTAATCCTGAGCCTCAATCAAAGGCCGCTTTTCTTGGCTTTTCACTAGTTTTTTCCTTTTTACTATCTAGGCGCCCCGAAGGAGTGGTGCTATAGTTTTTACAGCAGTCTTTTAGTTTTTTTTTTTTTTTAAGATGTTGTACCTAGTCTTTCACAGCTGAAAGGATTGTACATTTCTTGTATATAGTTACTACTATAATTTCTCTTTCGAGTTTTGTAAGATTCCACGCTGTGGCATTTCAATTAGTGAAAATAAAGACACACATTAAAGATTGTCCTCAGGGTTAGAAATAAGGTATTCTCTATACTCTTTTTATCCATTGAAGATAAGTTGCCAGAACGGATTATTATGAAGTATCCACTAATAATGGTACACAAATTCTGATTTTTGGTCTTTCCTTTAACCCTAAGAGTGGGGGGTCTGTCTACTCAAGAAGTCAATGTAAATTTATCAAGAGAAAATTATTAAATAATACTTGAGATGTATGAAAATTGAGAAGCAAAATTATGTACGTAAAATCATACAAAATGAGATAACCATAACGGATGCGTCGGATGGACGTCAAGTGGCTTATATAATCCCGTCGGACCAGAACTGATTGTTTTCAAGGGTGAATCTATCAAATTGATCAACCATTAACGAGTAATTTTAATGTAGGTGCATTTTATTAGGGAAATACAGAAAGTACTTCAACATCCATTATGTGTCCAAGAAGAATAAATAATCATGGAATCAACAAAGCGAAATAAACAAAGTAAGTCCAAAGTGTCTGCTAGGGAATCTTATCATCATTCTCAACTTGATCATTGTTGTTGCTTAAGGAAGAAAGCAAAAAAAATGCCCATGTTTTGTTAGGAAAATGGACCTTGGATCGAACTGGACCTAAGTCCTAACTAAACCCAAAATAAAGAAAAGATTCTTATCTATTTATAGAATGTGAGCAAAAAGAAAGAAGTGAAAAAGACAACATTGTAAGTAAGGCTGTATGGTGGGCCGGGCCCGGGCCTAAATGGGCTAAACGGGCCGGGCTAAACGGGCCTGGGGTTAGCGGTCCTGCGCTCTGGCGGTCCGGGCTTCACGGTCCCGGGCTTCGTGGGCTCAACGGGTGGGACCAGCCCCGTGACGGGCCTAAGCCCATATGGTTCTGGGCTAAATGGGCCGGGCTCGTGGGCTTAGCGGGCCTAACAGGCTTTTTTTTTATTTCCGGGCTTTTTTTTTTTGATTTTTTTTATTTAAGGCAATTTCTTGTAAACCATATATGTATGTATATATATAAATTGCTCTTATGCATGGCTATATAAATATATGTAGTATATATAATATAGAAATCTAATTATTAAAGTGTTTGACTTAAAAGTAAAATAACAAAACAATAGTAAAACTAAATTGGCATGCATAATATATTAATAACAAAGTACAACATGAAGCATAAATATGTCTAATAATTTTAAAATAACACAAATTGTTGAAAAATCTTAAAGACGAATTTGCGGATAAATACCCTCAACACAATACTTTATATGCCTCCTTAAAATGCCTGTGGTACACCCTGAACGAAAATTTAAGACTCTTCCACAGTTCTTGCACTTTAATATTTGGCCTTCTTCATTTTCTTCAAGCACTTCATAGTATTGCGAAACAAATAAGCGCACTCTTTCCGAACGAGGCATGATTTAACTTGAAAATTGAGATTGAGACTTGAAGTCTTGAAAATTGGAGATTGAGAGATTGAGAGAAATTTAGATTGAGAAATGAGTATTGAGTATTGAAATGAAGAAGAGGGAGGGGGGTACTTATAGTGTTAGAGAAGGTTAGTTTTGTAAATTGGAAAAAAAACGGCTATTTGTGCAATTAATATGACCGTTGGTGGTCATTGGGGGTGGGGCCCTTATTTTGAAAAATCTTGTTTTGTAGTATATATAGTACTACTTCTTCAACTATATATATATATATATATATATATATGTCATTGGGGGTCATTGGGGGTGGGGCCCGCAGCTCTTTTAGATGATTGTGAACTAGACGAAGTAGGGGTTGGAACATTTGGCCTAGCATGATCTAACGCAAGTTGATAAGCAACACGAGCATTAAACGTTGCATTAATTGGGTTTCTATATTCATATGCAACTACTAAACTTTCGTACATATAATTCCATCTAGTTGGACAAGGTTTAGGAACCTTTCTTTCTCTAAGGCCAAATTCATCACATTTTTTAAAATACTCTCTAAGTCTACTTCTACGGTTTGAATAAAAAAGCCAATTAAGAGCCATTCTAACCTTTTCAATTTCTAAATTTAAAATTCTCATACCATCACCGACGATTAAATGGTAAATGTGACAAATACATCTCACATGGAAACAATTACTAAATGCAGGATTTAGTGTTGTTGTAAGTATGCCTATAGCACTAGTGTTACTAGAAGCATTATCCATAGAAATTGCCATTATTTTATCTCTAATGCAAAAATATCTACAAATATCTGCAACAGTGTTAGCAATAAACTTACCTGTGTGACGTGAATTAATTATTCTATACGCAATAATGCGTTTTTGCATTATCCACTCCTCATCTATCCAATGACTTGTAACAGTTAGATAATCACAGTCATTATTACTTCTACCAATATCAGTAGTAATAGAAATCCGATTAGTTATATGAGTAAATAAATACCGCAAATATTGTTCATATTCATGTTTATATTTATAAATATCGCTCTTAACTGTTGCGCGAGGCCAACCTTTATAAGTAGGATTAAAAACTTTTCTAATATAATGCACAA